TTGGGAAGCTGCACGGTGATGCCCAGCTTGCACAACTGAGAAAGTCTATTGCAGAGGTTATTCAAGAGCTTGTCATGGGTCCAAAGCAAACTCCTAGCATCCGGAGAGCACTTCTAAAGGATATTGGTAATCTTTGTTGTTTTTTTGGCCAGAGACAGAGTAACGACTTTCTCTTACCTATCCTTCCTGCTTTTTTAAATGATCAAGATGAGCAACTGAGGGCAGTATTTTATGGGCAAATAGTGTACGTTTGCTTCTTTGTTGGTGAAAGGAGTGTGGAGGAATATCTTTTACCATATATTGAGCAATCCTTAAACGATACTGCAGAACCTGTCATTGTTAATGGATTGGATTGCTTGGCTATTTTGTGTAAAAGAGGTTTCTTGAGGAAGAGGATATTGCTTGAGATGATTGAGCATGCTTTTCCCTTATTATGTTATCCCAGTCAATGGGTAAGAAGGTCTGCTGCTACTTTTATTGCTGCTAGCAGTGAGAGGTTAGGTGCAGTTGATTCCTATGTCTTTCTTGCTCCAGTTATACGGCCATTCCTCCGTAGACAACCAACATCTTTAGCTTCTGAGAAAGCCCTGCTTTGTTGCTTGAAGCCTCCAATCTCCCGAGAGATATACTATGAAGTTCTTGAAAATGCGAGGAGCTCAGATATGCTGGAAAGGCAAAGGAAGATATGGTACAACTCTTCACCTCAGTCCGTAAATTGGGAAAGTATAGATTTACTCAAGAAAGGAATGGGAGAGTTGAATTTAATGAAGAATTGGCCAATCAAACCACAAAGTTCTGATGGTAAAAGCCCTGCTGATGGTCTATTCCTCCCGCCCGAGCTACCTGATGGTGATGATTGTGAAGAAAAGTTTAGAGGGATTAAAACTCCTGCATCCAATGTGTCGAGCAAAGCTGAAGTTAGTGATCCAGTATTCTCAGAGAAGTTACAACTCTCAGGCTTTATTTCACCACAAGTTAGTGGGATCAACAGTTTCATGCTTGATAAAACGTCAGAGGGCATTCCTCTGTACTCCTTCAGTTTGGACAAGCGGGAAACAGGATTTCATTCTGTGGCTTCTGATTCTCCATTAGAATTGAACTCTCTAGAATTTGATTCCTCATCCATACCTTGGATGGAGCCTGTAAATAAATCATTTAATATGGCTAGCTCAGCCCCAGCACCTAAACTTGTTTCAGGCTCCTTATGCGTTGGTAGTGGTTCTAAACAGTTCTACAGGGTGGTTCATGAGCCAGATGGCAGAGAAAATGATCAGACATCCTATATCAGTAGTAAATTTCAGGAGATTGGACCATCAAGTGCACTCAAAGGAAACTCTTCAGTGGTAGAAGATGTTCCCTCTACAAATGATTCGACATCATCACCATCTTTTACAAGAGCATCATCAGTTCCAGATTCAGGTTGGAGACCTCGTGGTGTGCTGGTTGCACACTTGCAAGAGCATCGCTCTGCTGTAAATGACATTGCTGTTTCAACTGATCACAATTTTTTTGTTACTGCATCTGAAGATTCCACTGTAAAGGTGTGGGATTCAAGAAAGCTGGAGAAAGACATCTCGTTTAGGTCAAGGCTAACTTATCATCTGGAGGGAAGTCGAGCACTTTGTGCTTCTATGCTCCGGGGGTCTGCTCAAGTTGTTGTCGGTTCTTGTGATGGTTTGATTCATATGTTTTCAGTTGATTATTACTCCAAAGGTTTTGGCAATGTTGCTGAAAAGTATTCAGGTATTGCTGATATTAAAAAGAAGGACATCAAAGAAGGTGCAATACTTAGTATGATGAACTACTCTACCGATACCAGTCAGATGGTTATGTATAGTACGCAGAATTGTGGAATACATTTGTGGGACACCAGAACAAATGTCAATGTTTTTACATTGAAATCAACTCCTGAGGAGGGTTATGTGTCATCGCTTTTGGCGGGCCCATGTGGAAATTGGTTTGTATCTGGGTCTTCTAGGGGTGTGCTGACACTTTGGGATCTTAGGTTCCTTGTACCTGTGAGCTCGTGGAAATATTCAGTTTTGTGCCCCATTGAAAGGATGTGCCTCTTTGTGCATCCTCCAAATACTTCTGTCGCTACTGCTGCAAGGCCCCTCATTTATGTTTCTGCTGGCTGTAATGAAGTTTCCCTCTGGAATGCAGAGAATTGGAGCTGTCATCAGGTGCACGGTTGTTTCTTTTATTCATTACATCTTATTGGCATTCTTCTTAAATTGTTATCCCTCAACCTTTTAAAAAGGGCAAAAAGAAGATGATGATAATTGTTTTATTGTTGGATGGAATGTTAAACATGAGATTGTTATCGGAGTTTCTCATGTAGGTGCGGTCTAGGTACTATATATAAGATATGGTGTGTTGAAAATAGCTTAATATGTCTAATTCTTGTATTGAACGTGGATTCATTTTTTTGCCTGCTTTTCGTCAACTGATTTCTTTAATGTAGCAGATCTAGATAAAATGTGATTCATTGTGGTTATCAGTATTTATAAAGTTCTAATTTATATATGTTAGAGCATTCAAATTTTGAAACTGCTATTTCGTGTCTTTTATTATATGAACTATAAATTACACACAGCAAATTTTAGTAATGAAATTGTAGAATGATTTATTATGCGTGCTGAATCAAACATTAACACTAAATTGGTTCAAACAAGAAATGTTTACCCATCCCCTTTTAAATTCATTTTTAGCATTACATTTTCTTGGTTAAAATTTTCAATCTAGGTTGTACAGGTGATAACTTCTACTTTACATTGAAATTGAACAGATAATTGTGGATATCTTTACTACATTTTTAATGTATTGATGAGAAATTGATGTTTAATGATTAATGTTCAAGATCTTCAATAAGTTGGTGGTAGAAATTGAATATTGTCTCATTTAACATAATATATATCTAAATTGTTCAACCTTTCTGTTAGATACTGAGGGTGGCAAGTTATGACAACGAAACTGAAATGTCTGACCTGCCTTGGGCCCTGGCTAGACCGTCAAGTAAGGGAAATCCTGTGCAAGATCTAAGACGTAATGTTAATCCAAAGTACAAAGTTGATGAGTTGAATGAACCTCCCCCTCGGCTTCATGGTATTCGCTCATTGCTTCCTTTACCTGGAGGCGATTTGTTGACTGGAGGCACTGACTTGAGAATTCGTCGATGGGACCATTACAGGTTTTTGTTTTACTTCCTTTCTTTCTTACTTGGTTATGGAGAAGACTGGTTTCTTTACAATAAGGGGGAATCAGCTTTTTATTCACTCATTTTTGTTGTTGCAGTCCTAACAGAACTTACTGTGTCTGTGGGCCAAACGTGAAGGGAATTGGAAGTGACGATTTCTATGAAACTAGATCTAGTTTCGGTGTGCAAGTTGTGCAGGTATTTTTGCTTTTCTTAGATTTTACCTGGAAATTTGTGGTGCGATGGTAGGTGGGTTTTCAATATTAGATTATGCATTATCACGACTGGTGATACCTACAAATTTACGATCGAAGAAGAAATTTCTCTTATTCAACCCCTGTACTGCCCTCAAAGTTGGGTGTTTAAATTGTTCGACGCTCTTGCAAAGATATTCCAATAGTGGATGATTTTTTTTTTCTTCTTGAAAAGCACGTATTTCATTTTGCCTTCTGTCTCGTCATTTTATTTTCTTGTGTTTGTTCTGAGTTTCTATTACTTCTTGTATTAAATCAATTAAAGTTGTAATTAGGTGCAGAAGAATATTTGACATTTTGTGGAATTATTTTGAGCAAATGTGAGGATGCAAACTATTTTTCCAATGGCATAATAGTTTTTTGTTCATGTTTATCTGGTTATATTTGTAAGAAATGATACCATTCGTTTTTAGAAACCTGGCTTTGATTAGTGGGACAGGAATGGGTAAATCAGTAGACCGTGTTAAGGTTAACCTACACCAGTAGTGGAAAAACAGGCAAAGAGACGGAATCAAGGGAAAGGGGTGGGCAAGAAAGCAAAAATTCGTTACAAGAATAACCAGAAACCATGGGTGTAGTGGGGAGGGACGGAGGAATGTTGTTGAGGGGAGGGAGTCAATGAATTGGAAAGCAGCTTTTTAATTGATGAGAAATCTTCGCACCTTCACTTCTCTTGTCGACTGGACTTATTAGAAATCCTAAATTTTTAGTTCTATCATAAACGTGATTGTAAGCTTATGTCTGGCCAATTGCTAGAAGATTGTTTATGGCTCATGGATGGAAGCGTCCAAGGGAAACGAGGGTTAATTTTTGAAGGTTTAGCGTTTTTATAGCCTTTGTAATCACTTGAAAAGCTATATGATTAACCACGTATAGAATTTTTCTGGCGATTGTCTTGATTTATATCAGGAGCTTGGAGCTCTATTTACTGTTATGTCCTCATGTGTTTAGGTGTTCTTTAACTACCTATAAACTTTTGTATGAAACCTATCATGCTTATGCTTAATTATTTTTGGTTTTCTGTCAAAAAGGAGACTAGGAGACGACCGCTATCAACAAACTTGACCACAAAGACTATTCTGACGGCTGCTGCAACAGATTCAGCTGGTTGCCATCGAGATTCCATTTCATCTTTGGCCTCCGTGAAGTTGAACCAGAGACTCCTATTATCAGGCAGTAGGGATGGAGCTATTAAAGTTTGGAAGTAAATGATCCAAGTAAACTCTACGATTTTCTGTACATACTTAGGCTGAATGCTAATTTTAATTGCGTGTGTTCTTAGGCTAAAAAGATTAGTTGGTAGCAAGGTATATGAGTTATATATATACTGTCCCTCTGGCATATACTGAATCATAGACATTTTTCCTTTGTATAGCATCTGCAATGAAGCATAAAGAAAATGGCTTTATCAATTGTTTAGATTATAATTCTTCAGTATTGTTAGTGCATCGGGTATTGGCATTTTAAATCTGGAATTTCGAGCCGTTTACTACACAAAGTAATGCTGTGGCTAAAATTCTGTTGTATAATTTCGAAGATTTATCCAAATATCAGGAAATCAAGAAGTTTGGTGCTGTTTGTTTTCTGTAATATTGAGGGTGGTAATTATCATGGTATACGAATTCATGTAAGCTCTACATTTAGGACTAATGAAGTATGCCTGTTAGCCCTAGCAACGCTCCATACTTGATGTTGTACAAACTGCCATGCATCTGCACTCTTGTTATGCTCTGCCTCTTCAAGTGTGCCGTAAATCCCAGGAAAGGATACCGATCCATAATCATCATTCTGCCATTATCTGTCTGTTGTTTAAGTTCTCGTACCTTTGCAAAGCTTCTCTTCCACATTGGTAGCCAATCTTTGCTTTCTCATGACATCTCTCAAGTCCTCTGCATACTTGGTAATGCTTCAAAAAACCGAAGGAAATGAGTTTATTTTCTTTACCATAGATTTACGGCTACCAAACCATGAACCATAGGGATTCTGTAACGAGTTTTCGGGATCAGGAACCTTGAGAATCAGATACAACAAGGTCGATATAGGAAGTATATTGATACATATTTCTTTCTGAACCCCATAGTCCTCCAGCCGTCCATAGTTCACATACCCAATGGCTCCGGTGATGGCACCGGATTTTCATTGCCATGGAATGTGGGTATAACTTCGTTCGCTACATCGGCGTAAGGATCGCCTTCATAAATCTCTTGATGGAAGTTGTAGGCAATCGGTTCTTCCGGTGGCGGCGGTGGAAGCTCTGGTTTTTGGGTATGCAATTTCCGTTTCACTGGTTTTGGAGATTTGGGTTAGTTAGCGATTTGTCAGCGAGAATCTCTGACCCATAATCTAAGTGATAAGTTTGTGCGCTGTAATTATTTGGATGAAGAAGAAGAAGATAAAGGTAACGCTTCATCCATTGAAGAAGATGGAGGTGGTGGTTTGTCAAGGTAGAGTCTCCAAGTGGAATTATTTTGTTTTGTTTTATCATCCAATCCCTCCTTTCATGATTCAGACCTAGTTGATATACAGTAACATAACATTTTGGACAAATCTGATTTGCAGATTCTCTACACAAACATAAATTCAAAATTCTATGGTATCTACACAGTCAGTTTAAGTCACATGAGGGTTCAACTTTAAGCTTGTTAGTCAAAGTTCGATTATCTTTTGTTCATATCAGACATTAATGGGAGAAAATAATTTTCCTTTCAAGTCGAAAATACCTTTTCATATTATATTTGGTAGTTTTGATTCATTTGTTCCTTTTCATCTTGGTAAAGAATCTTAGCATTCTCTCTTCGTACTCAACTACACTACTTTTAATGCTAACTCAAAAGATTTGTTAAATGCGGAATCTTTTAAGTGCAATTATTTTAGTTTATGTGCTTAAACTTAGCCTATATATCTTTAATAAATTGCAAAATTAGTTCTTGATGTAATAGTTATCTAACCTAAGATCTATAAAGAAGAGATGAAAGAAAAAAAAAAGGCAAATGAAAGAGGTGAAAAAAGTAGAATGAAAATAAAATTCGAGTATACTCACAAGGGATTTAAATGTAACAGTTCAAGCTCACTATTAGTTGATATTGATCGTTTTGGATCATTATGGTATCGTCTTTAGTTTTACGGTTTTAAAATGCATCTACTAGGGAGATGTTTACACAAGCCTACTGTTAGCAGATATTGTGCGCTTTGATCCGTTAGGTGTCGCAATCAGTCTCACAGTTTTAAAATGTTTACTAAGGAGAAGTTTTCACACCCTTACGAAGAATATTTCATTTACCTCTTTAACCGATATGAAATCTTACACTAAAGGAAAGTGATTATGGATTCTAAGCGATGAAAACTACAAATTGAAAATGAAAAAGAATAATAATTTTGACATCTCCCATGTGATTTCTGATTCCTACACCTAAAAGGTTAAATGTTAGGTTTGATTTGTTGCAGCCAGGTGAAGCAGAGCCACAAACATTCTTTTTTGATGCATTTAATTTAGTTTAATCATCTGAAAAGTTGTCTAATCCACTATGCCCACAGCTTTGAATCAAACTTCAAAGAGTTTATAGAACAGAACAGCCCATAATGCAAAGGTGAGTAACTGTTTGGCATGTAATTCTTGTAAAAGCAGCCAAAACAAGCCATTACAAAGGTAACTATTTATTCTTCATCAACTCCTTAAGAAACTTAAAACATCTCTATCTTTTCGTCCATTACATGCACCCGTCTCACATTGGTTAATCGAGTGGAAGATCATACGTTTTATGTTCAAAAGAATAACATACGTACAAGCAAGCAAGTCTATAATGTTAATGGACGCAAGCAAAGAAGTTGAGTATCAAGTGAGACACGCTCAGGTTGAATTTACAAAACAGCCCTCCACCAACAAAGAATGAGACAGAGAGAAGGGGGGAAACACTCACGGGCAACTCCAAACAAACAAGAGGAAGTGTTAAATTTCATAGGTACTCTGTCTATACTCACATTTTTCATTTTTATATCCCAAAACTGCAACCTTTCTCTTACTGGCGACAACCCGTGAACTCTCCTCATCAGCTCTTTTCATTTTCCATTCATTCTCTAATCTCCTTTCCACCTAATACTTTTCTCCCACTAACCTCTCTCACTCTCTCTGTATATATAAACCCTCCAACCCTTTTCCATAACAATTCCGATTCCGATTCCGATTCCGATTCCGATTCCGATTCCAATTCCTCTGTTTTGAGCTTCCTCCAACAATGTCAAAACTTCAGCCCCCTTTCGCGTTCTCTCTTCTTCTTCTTCTTCTTCTTCTTCTTTTGCTCACTCAAACGCACTGCCACACTAAAGGGATCAGACCCAAGAAATCGCCCAGAACCATTCTTCCCAAGAATTCCACCAAAACCCAATTCTCAGAACAGCAATTTATGAAATGGGTCAAATTCGTCGGCAGCCTCAAACACTCAGTTTTCAGAACGGCGAAGAATAAGCTTTTTCCTTCTTACACACTCCACGTCGCTAAAAAACCCGCCGCCGGCGACTTTACGTCGATCCAAGACGCCATCGATTCCCTACCCTTCATCAATTTGATCAGAGTTGTGATCAAGGTTCATGCAGGAGTATACAAGTGAGTTAAAAAACCCCACTAAGAATGATCTGTTTTTTTGTTCGTTTTCTCCTCGTGTCCTATTTCTGAATGTGAATTCAATTTAACAGAGAAAAAGTAATCATACCACCGTTCAAATCGTTCATAACAATCGAAGGAGCGGGGGCAGCCAAAACGATCGTTCAATGGGGGGACACAGCACAAACACCAGGCCCAAAGGGGCAGCCGTTGGGGACCTATAACTCCGCAACATTCGCAGTAAATTCCCTTTATTTCATAGCCAAAAACATCACATTCAAGGTAAAACATCACAAACCTCCCTGTCCCGAATTTGTTTCCTTCAAAAATTAAACGCGTGTATATGTTCATGCAGAACACCACCCCTGTACCCCCACCAGGAGCGATGGGAAAGCAAGCGGTGGCGTTCAGAATCTCAGGGGACACGGCGGCATTCTACGGATGCAGATTCTTAGGAGCTCAGGACACACTGTACGACCATCTGGGTCGGCATTATTACAAGGATTGTTACATCGAAGGGTCAGTGGACTTCATCTTTGGAAATGGGTTGTCTCTGTTTGAGGTAAGAGGGTCGAGAATGAGTTTCTTAATCGCTGCGATTAGAAAGTTGATTGAAACTTGACATTGGGATTGATGGATGGTTGAAATAGGGGTGTCACGTGCACGCAATAGCGAGGTACACAGGGGCGTTGACAGCGCAGGGGAGAAGCAGCCTGCTGGAGGACACAGGGTTCTCATTCGTAAACTGTAAGGTCACGGGGTCTGGAGCGCTGTACTTGGGAAGGGCATGGGGGCCCTTCTCTAGGGTCGTCTTCGCTTACACTTACATGGACAATATCATCATTCCCAAAGGCTGGTACAATTGGGGCGATCCCAATCGCGAAATGTAACGTTTTCTTCTCTCTCTCAATCTTCATTCATCAAGCTTAGAAATTTGAATTACTCAAAAACAGAGTAAGAGATGAAATAATTCAAAAACAGAGGAGGAGGAGGTTAGCTTAGTTGCAAGAACAGAGCCAACGCATGGAGAAAGAAGCTGCTGTCGTTTTCCTCTTTTTGTTTTTCACTGCTAAATCAACGTGGAATCCACAAAAACAAAATATTTAAAAAAGGACCCAACTTTTTAATCAGTACTCGAATATTTTTAGTAGCTGAGCTGAGAGACCACCATTTCCGCCGCCGCCGCCGCCGCCACCTAACATCTGGGCGGTGGCATTTGCCCATGTGGCGGTGTTTGATTTGGTACAGAGCAAGCGCAGGCAGGGGTACTTTGGTAAATCTGATTTTTTTGATTTTTTATTTTTGACAGGACTGTGTTCTACGGGCAATACAAATGTACAGGAGAAGGAGGTAGGTTTGCAGGCAGAGTTTCATGGTCCAGAGAGCTTACTGACGAGGAAGCCAAGCCTTTTATTTCGCTTAGCTTCATCGATGGCTCTGAATGGATTAAAATTTAATTACTTTTCTTTATATATTTTTATTTTTATACAAATTTGAGTGCTTATATTATGACTTATAATCCATTTATTATGTGGGTCTCCATGAAAACATACGTTTAAAGGGAACAATATCATATCAATACAGAGATTCTGTTCAGGTTCTCAAACCCACTAGGTGTTGAATCGGATTGGATTGGATCGGATGGAATTGAAATTGAAATTGTTTGTAGAATAGTGAAATGGACAAACTAATTCAGCAGATGTTGGAGTGATGTGTATTTGAAACTGGAAAAAAAAAGAAGAAAAAGAGGAGGGCAGAAGTGGGGTGGTACATGGAAGGCATTTCCAGCTCCCCTCCTCCACAAATTTGTTTTATTTGAGACTGCCAATTCTGGCTTTGGTGTCTGTTGGCAGCCCCCATCTTTTTCACGCTTTTACCCTAATAAACCCTTTCTAATCCCTCTTCTCCTCTCAATACCCACATACCTTTTATACTTCTACTCAAATCCCAAAGTTTCATGTTATAACTTTCGTTCTAATTCGAATTAGAAGTTGAGTAACGAAACATTCTTACAAGAGTGCGTATATATCTCTTGCAGAGTTCCCTGTTCTTCCTTCTTTCCCAATCTCTAAAACCTAAAACCCTAATCATTATTTATCTCCCGCCAAAGTTTACCCAAATTATTGGTACAAAAAAAAGGAAAAAAATCATACTCAGGTTTGATTTGACTGATCCCTGCCCTTTTTCCCTTATTCCTCAATTTTGCAGAAACCCCATTTCTTTTTTAAAGTTTAATATATCATTCAACTTCTGGGTGATGGAGAAATCTGAAAACGGGAAGAAACTGGTTCATTAACTTTAATCTAAACCACTTGCATTGGGCAGTTGATTCAATGATGTAACTTACAAAATTCTAAACATCGGGAACAGAGGAAGGGATTTAATGAGAGTGAAGTTTAGGGAACCAATTTCAAATTGTTCATGATCTTCTCTGCAAGTTGTTGAATTCCGATGGTCTATCCAGTTTGCTCATCACAGCATTCTTGAAATTAATGGCTTCTTGTACCTGCGAACAAGACCTCTGCATTCGAACCCCACTAAGGCTGCTTCTCGATTCCATTAATTCATTCAACGAAAGCCTCTTCTTCGAGCCTGGCTCCGGCCTCTGTTTCGGAGCACTCTGGGACCTCAATTTCGCCATAAATGATTGAGTATTCGCCATGTAATTTGGGAAATTCAAGTACCCTCTGAAGAAATTATCAGCACACATGCTCTTCGCTGGCGTCGGAGGGCCATTGGATCTGCCGGAGCTGACGAATCGTGGAGTGCTCTGCGCTGTCGAGATATAGCGGCACTCGTCGCCAGTGAGACCCCAGTCAGAATCGTGCCGGCAATCAGGAATCTGCAAACGCGACGGAGTTCGACAGGGAAGTGGAGACGACAACGTTTGGTGAAATGGGTCGTCGCCAAATTCTGACGCCGACGTGTTCGTCCGGCGTGACCAGGATTTTGGTCGGCCGGTGTCCATTTCAACGATTTTGGGGCTTTCTTCAAGCGCTGTAAATGGTGTGTTGTCAAAAGAAGATGAAAGCCTTCTGCTGTGTACTGAAGCTGTGTGCTCACTCCTGCGAGTTCTCTGAGATCGAACGGTGGCTTGAGCTCTGATTAAAGCTTGCATACTATGAAGAGTTGCCGTTGCTTGTTTACGAATCAAATATCCTCTCACAAGCGCCTGTAATTTCACCAGTCCTTTAAGCGCTCTCAGTGCTTTTCTCGCCTAATTTCAAAGCTCCAAAAACCACCAAATTCTTAAACAAATTCCGTAACCGTAATGCTCAAACGAAAAAAAAAAAAAACAGAGAAATTAAACCACTCACCAGAAACCCTCTGAAGCAAGTTTGAATCTTGACAGAGGCCCATCTCTCTCGGCCGCCGCCGAACATAGTACCTCGCCCATGGCTAGTGAGCCGGACGACAGCCACGGCAGCTTGTGCTGCAGCAACCGCAGCGTCAGCAGCAGCAGCAGTGGCTGCAGCGACTGCTATAGCGTGCTTGCTCTGTTCCTTCTCTGTTTCAGAGTAGAAGGATTTGAGCCAAGCGGCCTCCGCGGCGGATAAATTGGGCGGTATTGTAGCCGGATTGTTGCAGAGTTGGGCGTCTCCGACGAAATTAGAAGTGGGGTTGTTATCCTTGTTGAAGGCGGAGGTGGAATTTTCGGTGGTGGGTTGTTTTTCTTTCTTAATCCCAAACAAGTTCTTCAGCCATCTCGTGGCTCTCCCCATTGTTGGCAAAAGAAACAGAGAAGAAGAAGAAGAAGAAGAAGAAGTGAAGTTGAAAACAGAGTATGCACAAAGAAAGGAGGAGAGGAGGAGAGCGTAGCAGTGTGAAGGTTAGAAAAAACGCTAAGATTCCTGCATCGTTTTAAGATAGATATCGTTGTCAATGGCAGATTCGAAAAGTTCCAAATCCTGGGAATAAAAATTAAAAAAAAAAAAATCTTTTTCTTATTTCAAAATTATAAATACTATATAATTACCCCTTGGGAATATTCGTAATATCTTAATATTTTCGAATTTTGGGTAACAATTTGTTGGATGTTTGAACAAAAATAATATATTAATATTTAAAAATAATATAAAATATACATTATTCTCTCTCTACTTTATGGAGGGACGTGCCGTTGTAAAGAGAAAAATACAAAGACAACAAACTGGCGTGTTGTGAATTTCTTATTTATTTCTTTATTGTTATATTATGATATTTAATTTTAAAATTGGAGGCATACGATATAAAATCCAAATGGATGTTTGGAAAATTGAAATAAAATTAATGGTTTTTTTTTTTCCTTTAATAAAAAGAGTAAAATAAAATAATAATTATATAGAAGAGGATTGTCAGGCAGGTTAAAGATGATGGTAAAGGTTGATATAATAAGAATGTACTTTATCCAGAGCCTTGTCATTTCAATTACATCGTTTTCAATAATATTTTAAATAAATTCTTTTTCTAAATTTTAAAAACATTAAAAAAAAAACATCATTAATCTCTACAACATTCTTCTCATTCCTATGTTTCACGGGGAACTATGTTGTTTGATTTGGTGTAATCATATAATATAATAATAATATGTTTGGGATTTTAATTCCTATTTTATACATTCTCATTTTCTTTCTTTTTTATGCGTCATAATCACATGTATTATTATTATTATTATTTTTGGAGTGGGAATGGGAATCTTTTATTTTTGTTTTGTTTTTATATTCATTAATTTTAATTGGAGCCTTTATAAATAATAATATTAATTTTTTATTCTAATAGATATAATATGCCTTAATTTCCAAATTATTAATCTCCAGGCTGTCCTTGGTGAGAGCAGTTCATAGCTTCTAATTTCAGCGATGCCTAAGTTTCCTTCTTTTCCTTTCATTCCTTTTCCTCCCATTCTAGTAATAAACATAAACCCTAAACAACCTAGAGAAGATGTTAGGTTCGAGTAAAGAGAAACGCAAAGCCCCGTTTTTAACTAATGAGTAGGTTTCCTCGGGAGAGGGAGGATGTTCATTTACATATTTCTTCTCGCTCACTTTTTATAGGTTCAAAATCAATGAATTGACACAACGTCTAAATAAGAACGATCTTAATGATATAATGTCATTTCTCTTTAAAATAAATTTAAAAGTCACTAAATATAAAAACTCCCTAATTAAACGTGTTTTGTTTGAATATATTTTCCTATGATACATGTAAGTGAGGGTAAAGCATGTTGGAAAGATCACGTTGGTTTATGAAGATAATTTTCACTCCGAGAAGAGAGGAGTAAGCAATGTGACTCATGCCAAGACTATAAGTCTTTAATTCGGATTCTGAATATTGATCTAAATTTTGGGCACGAGTCGTTATTTATATATATATATATATATTTTAAAATTTTAAAGGGTATGAGTAAACTTCCATATTGCAATCTTTCCAATATATTCTGACTTTCTAAATATTTTCGTTCATTCTTTCACTATTGGGTCGACTATATTGGGCTTTGGGCCTTCAAATTAGTAACTGCAGTTGGGCTTATGGGCTTAAACGTGCACGTATTGGGCCAACCAGTCCATTTTTATTGATAAAGTTTAGGAAGGCCCAAAAACAGATTTCCTAAATCAATTGTTAAAAAAGACGATAACTCGATAAAGAGGAAATAAATATATATATATATCGCAGGTTTGTTTATTTACATATTTTCCTTTTTAAAAATATATATTTATACCTTTTCGGATATGTAACAGGCATGTACTAAATAAATTAGTTTATATTCATATGTTAAATTATTTTATACCTTTTGAAACTCATAAAAGGGTAGGTTGCTTTATTATATGTTTTTTTATTTATTTATTTCACCCCCTTCTAAAGCCGACTTTAATCCAAGTCAAATTATATATATAAGTTTTTTAGATTGATTAAAATAATAATTAAACGTTATGAACCAAAAAAATTAATTAAAAAAAACTAATCTATTAAAAATGATGTGTATATATTAAAAAACAAAAAGCAGTGCATCTTATGACTTAATCTAAATATCTTATTAAAAAAAAACATAATAAAAAGAGAATTCATAATTCCTAAAAATTAAAAAAAAGAAATTCAAGCTGTTAATTCGCCACATAAACACACTTAAATACGATAATGGTGGGGTATTTATTGAGATATAAAGATTTTATCCTTCTTTTTTTTTTTAATATTGCTGAAATTTTTAATTAATAGCGTGACACAACAAGCTTATTATTATTATTATTATTATTATTATTTTCCTATATGAGTTGACATTAATAAGACAGTATTGTATTGTTATTGTTGGTCAATAGATCTTAATTGGGTATTTAGAACAGGAACCCTAAATATTATTTTTTTTATTCATCCAAACAATAATAATAATAATAATAATAATAATAACAATTGCATTTCCATCGTGCTTAGATGATAATCTGTCGTAATGGGCATGCCTGTTTTATTTATTTATTTATTTATTGAATTTGCTTAATTTTCTTCCATTTGTATCTGAAAAATGGAAGAAAATGAATGTGACTTATTATAATTAATCAACAGAACCTTCCTTCCGATTCAAATAATATTATTGGTTTCAATTATAATTTAATTTATCTCAAACCCCAAAAGCTTCTAGAAGTCAAATACGGAAAGGAAATAGTTTAACAAAATAAATAAATCAAAATTACGTTTCTGATGTGTTACGTGTTGGGTGTTACATAAATTAAATTACTTTGATTTGACATCTCTTTTTTCAATCAATTTAATAAATGTATTAGGTTTGACAAGTGGAAAAAGTCAAATTATTAGTATTTTTAATTTTTTTTAAAAAAAGTATATTTGGATATAGCAAATTCTTAGATCTTCTCCCTTTGGATCTGTCATTTTATTATTAATTTTCAAAATAAACTCTACATGCAAAGTACCCAAGTATGGTTGACATTTTTAATTCATTAGATTAAATAGACGGATGAAAGTTGACATGTGCATCAAAGTCAACATACCCCAACACCAATGTCATTGGATGATCTATGAAACAAATCAATAAATTAAAAGTCAAATAGGAAGAAGTACTATATAATTCGAATAATTTTAAAGTTCAATTTAATTTAATTCGATAAGATTTAAATACAACCTTATCTATATGGTACCAGATCACGCCAACTCACATCTAATCTTATCTAATATTACTTTTGGAAGGTAAAAGAATGATCCGAATTGTTGGTAATTTAATATTTAATTATTCATGATTTTCCAATATCATTATCACTCACCACAAACTTTATTTTTTTCCTTTAACATCAAGTTTTGAATAATTTAATTTGTCGTTTTGTTACCCTCTATTTTTTCCAACAAATATATTTTAAATTATTTTCAATGAAGAGAAAATGAAATATTATGAACATATACATATATTAATAATGAAGAGAGGTCAGAAGAAGCTGTGCCTTAGAATTTTGTTGGATTTGATAGGTTGACTTTCGAATATAAGGCAATTTGTCTGTGTGTTTGTGTACGGACTGCTCTCCATTTCCCATCATCTTTATTAATTATCTTTTCAACTTCTAACTAAACATACCCTTTATTAATCACTCTCTTAACATTAATTAAATGGTTTTAAGTTAAACTGTAAATTGTTTACATTACAAAACAACTAGCTTAAAACGATATCGTTTTAAACTACTGTGAAAGCCAAAATTTAAACTATATAAGAATTTATTTGATAATTTTACGTAGAGTTATTATATTATCTAGTCTTTGTAAAAAAAATTGGATTTAAACGACATCATTGCACCTTGCTTAAGAACACTGAACAATCTAAGAAGAATGTCGTGAATGTCCATTCACAAAAACAACAGCCAGATGATACTCATTCCATATCTTAAGTAAAAGTATAATAATCGTAATTTGGTTTGAATTCGCTTTTGATAGGATGATCATGCATTGTGTTTGGTTTTGACACTGACAGACGCAATTGAGAATTGTGTGTTGTCCATATGGGAAGTTGTTGGTAAAGAAGTGTGGAGGCAGAAAATACAAAGCCATGGCAGAGGCACCACCAAGTTGCGTGGGCAGAGACACCTTTGTTGATGTCGCATTTTTTGCACGAGGGTAATCTTTGTCCACACACTTTTTAACTTTTCACCGCTGGGAAAGCTATGAATTGTTGTAGTGTGAGGTTATATTTGTGACGAACACTCAACCCACACCCCAGATTGGACGTAAATATGGAAAACTAAAATGCATTGAAGTGCTAAATGAAGAAACATGAAGTGATATGGAATGGGACCCATGTGTGCGGAGGGGATAAGAAGAAGACAAGCACAGGGAAGGAACACCTTGACCTCCCACTCAAAATCCAGTGGTGTTGCAATGGCAGCAAGAAGACAAAATAAAATGTCCATTTCAACTTGCTCAGAACCAGAATCTAACATGCCAATTTTACTAACGGTATCCGTCCATGAAATGTTCTGTTTAAGAAATGACCATTAGATATCAAATTTGAAATGGCAAGCAAGCCAGCATTTACAGAAAAAAGGGAAGAAAAAAAAAAAAAAAAAAAAAAAAAAAGGTGATTTGATGTGGTTGCAGCTTACAGGCTTTTAGGCTTCAGTTTTCAGTCTTCAGGCTTGTCGTTTTTTCCTTTATATAAAACGAAAATGACCACTCATTTTCCCCAACATTTCTGTCTCAAACATGCCAGACCGTTGGATTATCTGCTCCTCATTTACCCATTTCCTAAAATTACATATAATAATAATAATAATGATGTAAATTAACATTAATTAATTGATTTTTTGTTTACATACAATTACGGGATATACCACACGCGAGGGAAATAATAACAGGATTGATATCATAAACAAACTTGGGTGGGTAGGGGAGACAGGAATAAAATTAAATATTCCTTTTTTTAAATAAAAATTAAAACTTTTTTCAAAAAATTGAATTTAGGGTTTGGTGTTTTCACGACACTACTACAGAAGTCAGAGGAGTATTTTCCTCGACGTCTTCGTCTAAAACGACGTCGGATGTTGTTAACTCCTTCGACCTCTCCGCTTGTAAATCCCAATCGGTGCTTCCGATTACGTATAGCATCAGCCCAGCGCAACTCACTTGGGCTGACAATAGGCCCAACCATAGACCCGAGAACCCGACTCCGAAGACAATTCCCAGCCCGACTGCCACTGGCATCCCCACTACGTAAAAAGCGCTCAGGTTTATACGTGCTGCCGTCGACGGTCGTGCGCTGCCTCTCAAAACACCGCAGCCCACTGTCTGGGGGCAGTTTCCGATCTCGCATAGCCCCAAAATGGGCAACGCCATTGATGTCAACCGTATGATTTCAACGTCGTTAGTGAAAAGCCGGGCCCATACGTTCCGTATCGACACCGCGAACGTAGTCGCCGACAAGCCCATGATTACGGCTATAAACACTGCGACCACAGCGGACAATTTGGCTCGACCGGGTTGGTTGGCTCCGAGTTGGTTACCGACCCGAGTGGAAACGGCGAAGCCGAGAGAGGACGGGAAGATATAAATCAAGGATGTGGTTTGAATCAAGATCCCCATGGATGCGACGGTGGCTTTGGGGTTCGTCAAGAGACCGCAGAGAATGATCATGATCTCATACCACCACCACTCCAAACAAACGGAGACGCAGCTGGGAGCGGCGAGTTTCAGAAGTGGGGTCCAGCCAGTCAGACACTCGCGGGTGGGTGGGGTCCACGTGGGGGCAAAGATTCGAGAAATCAAGATGTAGAGGATTAGGAAAATGAGGACGACGAAATTAGTGGCGGCGGAGGCGGCAGCGACGCCGGCGATGCCGAGGCGGAAGTGGGAAACGAGGAGGATATTAATGGGGAAATGGAAGAAAGAGCCGGCGAGGGAGGCTAGAGTTACAGGGAGGGTTATACCCTGAGCTCGAAGGTAAATGCGGATTGGGTGAATGAAGGAATTGGAGAGCAAATCGGGAAGGGAAAAAAGTAAGTAAGTATGGGCTAATTTGGTGATGGTGGGATCTTGGTGGAGGAACAAGAGGACGTTGGACATATTGAGCCAGAGAAACGAAATGGGTATTGAGGAAACGAGGAGGAAAATGACAGTGCGATGGAGGGTTAAGGAGAGGAGCTTAGGGCGGTGGGCGCCGAAGGCTTGGGAGCAGAGCGGCTCCATGCCGAGAGCGAGGCCTGACAAAACAGAGTAGCCAGTGATGTTGGCGAAGGCGATGGCTAAAGAGCCAGCAGCAAGTTCCATGTCACCCAAATGGCCGAGAAAAAGCATAGAGAGAATGGAGCGGGAGTAGAGAATGAGGGCGGTGAGAGCAATAGGGAAAGCGAGACAGAACAGGGATTTAGCTTCAGAGATGATATCAATGGCAGATGAAGGGAGTAGCGAGGGGGGCTTAGAGTGGAGGTCTGGATTTTGGTGTTTGACAAAGGATAAAAGATGGAGGGCTAGGTTGAGGTGGGATTGAAACATGATGAAGAAGAAGAGGAGGGCGTGTGGGCGTTAATTTGTTTGGTTAGAAGAAGCGGAAGTGGGAGGGAAGTGCAGGAATGCAGGTGAGTGTTGTGTTTTGACGTACAGGTGGGAGTACAGACAGAGCCGAAAAAGCTCAATTTGTCAAAAGGAGTGTCGGAGAGGGAGGGAGATGTGTGTGAGAGTGGGCGTACCACAAAGGGGGCTGACCCTAATGTATTTATAGCCCAAAATGTGCAATCCCTTTTAACGTCCTCCACCATCGGGTAAATTTGGATCCAAGTTTCTGTTTCGGCTGATAGTAGTAGTCAATATTGCAGTGTTTTCATATATATATATATTATTATCCTAAAAAGCATGGGATCATATATATATATATAAAAGTATTGTTAAAAGTCAAAGGGTTAGAATAAATAGAATTGTTCACTCCATGTTCTGTCCCTCGTATTGGAAGTCGGCTGAGTAAAGACATTAATATGAGGTTGCCCAAAATGCATGCCAATCTACTCACCAATTCATTGACTTTCATAACAAAACTCACTAATCTCTCTCTTCTCTTCTAATTCCGACGTGTCGAAATGTTTCCGGATGTATAACTGGAGTGTCGTTTGGGAAGACTACAAATGGAGAAACGGGATAGGAGGAGGATAAACGGGAGAAGGACACCCACTCGTTTCCCCCAAAACGTTATCGTTTGCTTTCATTACCCACTGGCTGTTGTTGCACTTAGGTGTGAAATGTTTCTATAACGGAGGCGCCTTCTTTCCCCCGTTTCTGCACCCACAGCCCTTCATTTATTTATTTATTTTTTTTTTTTTTGCTTCTCTTACTTACACAGCTGTATTTTGGATTGAATATTTGTTTAAATTTAGATACTTTATATTGGAATTTGGAGATATTTTTTATTTTCCAATAATTGAAAATAAATGGAGAAAAATATGAAAGGTGTTGTGATGCTTCCAAACAAAGATTAACGTGGCTTGCCTTTGCCCATCAACTTCAACTACAAGCCTACAAATGTCCCTTTTTGGATCTACTTTTCCATTTTTATTATTACTTTTAAATATTTCCATTTTCCCCTCAATATTTAACGGTTACAAATAAATATTATTAAATTAATGGAATGACATGGAAGCATATTAATATTATAAAATTAGAAATGGAGGCACGCACTCGGTTAACTAAAACCACAAGCGTGATATTTAGAGTCAGGAACTGACTCGTAGATTTATGGTAGATTCAATTATACTAAACCCGTGTTATCCTTTCCATACAAAAGGGAGTTTTGGGTTGGATGTTAGAAAATGTATGTAGTGCACGTTAATCTCTCTCCACTAGTTCAGGCAAAAGGGAATGGTAATCAAGGGTACCCAGATGTCGATATGTCTTCTCTATGGTGGGAGGTTTGGCTCTGAATCCATAGGATGAATATTCTAAGTAGATGTAGACGAAGGAGACAAGAGTGAAGCACCAAAGATGCTTTTCAATATACTTTTCCTATTCACTAGTAGATTGCGCGCTAAAACGAAGAGACACGTGGGTTGTGGAAGCATATTTTTGGACGTAGTTGTTCGTATCGTGAATTAACGTTAAAGCTTTTTGTGTAATGCAAATTTTGGTGTGAAAATGTTAGTTTAATTGGGAATAAGGTCAGGAGTACGATAGGCACACATGCATGCTACATAATTCCCACCACCATTACCCTTTTTGTGTTGCATCTAATTCAACAAAAATAATTATATCATTATTTTGTCAGTATTCAAATTCCAATTTAAATCCTACCAATACGTTTTTCTATATGGTCAAACATTATAAAATTCCCCCCTAACAAAGCTTAATATAAAAATACCCATTTATTGATCACCCAAATTGGTATTATATATAAAACATTATCTTAGGTTGACAAATTAAGCAACCAAAAAATTAGACTTGCTTATATTAAAAATAACCCTATATTTATATTTATATTTATTTGTTTATTTTGTTGTTTTCCCTTCGGGATACAACTTATTTTATTACTTTATTCTTCCCTTTCCATAACTAACCAAATCTATATATAACACCTCAAGCCCATCTTACTCGACCTTATGGAGAAAGTCTAGCCTTACTTTGACCATCTTACTCGACCTTATGGAGAAAGTCTAGCCTTACTTTGACCATCTTACTCGACCTTATGGAGAAAGTCTAGCCTTACTTTGACCATCTTACTCGACATATTCGGAGGGAAACAAAATATTATTTATAAATTATAAGAAATGATTCGTTCCTCTGTTTAGTTAGAATACAAAAGATGTTAAAGAAGGGAAAGAAACAAAAAAGGTGTGGGGTTAGAAAGGGGATTAAAAGATTAGAAAAAAAGTAGAGATAACATGGGGAGTGCAGCTAAGGTAGCATGCATATTACGGTACATAGAAACAACAAAAGATTAAAAGGATGAAATGTGGTATTTTCTTTATTACATTGCATTTCATGCTTTTTTTACAAAGTCAAGATTGCAACCTCTAATTTTTAATATATAGATATAGATATGGATAAGCATTAAACTTGAGTGCTTCTGGTAATTTAATGCATGAAATATGCTTTTTTTTTTTAATTTATTTAAATATTTCCAAAGTGCTTCTCATGATTTTCTTTCATCAAAATTCCCAACGTGACTAGTTTGAATTGGTGGAGTATTTGGGCTGGGCCCATTTACATTTGACTTATGGACCAAGGGAGTTTATTCTTGGGCTGATTATTGGGCTTTAGGCCCATGTTTGGTGGGTAATGCAGCATTAGCCAGATTGGATGGAGTTTAAGAAATTTGTAACTCAAAATAATTAAAATGGTTGAAAAATGTGTTGTTATTCTTTAATTTTTACTTAAACCCTCCTGGAATCAATTGGAAGCCCACCAGGTTTAATGTTATGATTAAAAAAATCTGAAATTATAGGGATCTAATTTGAATTAATTATATAATCGAATTTGAAATGGGTTGGCATATAGTCAAAAGTCAAAAAATGTATAATTTATTGTTGGTAAAATAATTAAAATAGGTACAAGTTGCATAATTATATTGACAACCCGCCTCCTTTTTATTTTTCTAAAAGTAATGTAATTTTTTAATATAATCTTTAAGAATGCAAAAAATAATGATAATAATAAAATTAAATTAAATTTAGATAAACTAGAAATGGAATTTAGGTAATTTAGTATGTAATGATTGTTAATAGGAAATGCTAAGGTGGAATTAAACAGGTGGCAAAGAAGGAAAGTGATCCACGTGGATTTGGTTCCTGAGGGGCAAATGGTATTGGTAAACGACAGGTCAGAACTGTAATTGTGAGTCAAAACTTGTCCAATTTCCGAAGCCGAACCACAAACACATGATTCTGCAAATCCAAATTCCAAAACAATCTCAATTTCAAGTTCTTTTCATTCTCATTCAAGTAATTCCCCTGCAAATTGCGAGACTAAATAGCCAAGCAAAACAACTGAGCAATCCAGTTCCCAAGTTCCCTTCGATCCCCGGGAACTTCATTTCCTTCTTTTCCATTACTATCTTCTTCGAGTTTCATCGGTTTATTTAATTTTAAAGGCCTTCTTCCAAACCCCGAATGGATCTCTGATCACTTGAGCATTTTTCCGATCGGAAACCTCGGGGTTTCTAGTTTTGAGGGTGGAAATCTTCTGGGTCTCAATCTAATCGACGGCTGTCTGTTTCGAGATGAAGAAGGTGGTAGTGGGAGCGGGTGTGGTCTGCGCTGTTGCTGTTTGTACGGCGGCGGCTTTGGTGGTGCGGCAGCGGGTGAAGAACTGCGGGAAGTGGAGTCGAGCTATGGGTATCTTGAAGGAGTTTGAGGAGAAATGTGAAACTCCGATTGAAAAGCTGAAGCAAGTCGCGGATGCTATGGCTGTGGAGATGCATGCTGGACTCGCATCTGAGGGCGGAAGTAAGCTCAAGATGCTTATTAGCTATGTGGATAATCTTCCCACCGGGTAATTTTATCTCCTTTGTCTTTTCCTCTTTTTCCATGCCCTTTTGTTCTGAATCACTTCATCCATGAGTCTGAAAGTTGTTTTTTTCTCTTGGGTTCCTGATGTAAATTGGTAGGAACTTTAGAAGGTTTGGGATTAAGGTGGAAGCTTTAGTTTTATCTGAACTGGTTGGTTTTGACAAGTTCTAATTTCATGAAATTGAATGTTAAACGTTAACAAGAACACCAACATAACCCCATTCAAGCAATCTGGCAATTCAGATATGTGTTTTATATTTATAGATTGTTCAGCGTAGCTATAGTCTTTTACCCCCTCTCGTTTGTTCTAGATTTTATTCTCAAAAATCTTGCACCAAATGGCATGCTGGAAAAATCTTGTACAAGTTAGAATGCTCAATTATTGATTGTAAACTTATTACTTACTGGTGATTGATGTAATCTCCACCATTAGATCTTTTCCATTGCTACAAAAACTGAAGCCAAGATTTTTTCTCTCATTTTTGTTAGGGACGAGAAGGGGGTGTTCTACGCATTAGATCTTGGGGGCACAAACTTCCGTGTGTTGCGTGTGCAGTTGGGAGGAAAGGAAGAACGGGTTGCCAGGAAAGAATTTGTTGAAGTTTCGATCCCTCCGCATTTAATGACCGGATCTTCAGAGGTTAGTATTCCTCTTACCAAGTTTATTATGTTTAAGTTCTCAGAACTGATAAAGAATGTTTTTCAGGCCTTATTTGGTTTTATAGCTGAAGCACTTGCAAAATTTATTGAAGAAGAAGGTGATGGCTTCCACCCAGTATCTGGTAGACAAAGAGAGCTGGGTTTCACATTTTCTTTCCCGGTTAAACAAACATCGATTGCCTCAGGGACACTTATAAAGTGGACAAAGGGGTTCAACATCGAGGATGCTGTTAGTACTTGTTACCTTGATATCTATTATCATTATGTTGCTTAGTACAACCATCAATTACTATTTGTTTTTAAAATATATGATACCCCTAAAAATGGAATCAAATTATATGTCAAGAACATTAAACCTGACAGCTATTCTTTATAACTTTTAGGGTGTCGAAACTTGTGCTATCTTAGTGCATTTTCCTCTTTATGTAGTGGTAATCTTGAACTGGAAAGTCATCTAAGCTTTGATTTCATTGCGACAGGAAATGGACTAATAAGGTGGTTGACTGTTTTGTTCTTATCATTAGGAGTTTAAAGTGCCTACGACAATCGTTAGATTGATGGAAAAAAAAAAAAAAAAACAGACAAAGAAATTACCTGATCAGTGAAAGAACTGAAATTCCTTGCAAGCTTTGGTAACTTATAAGATTTCTTTACTGAAAATTAAAACGACTGAAGAACTGAGAAGTGATTTGGATATTGATCCTGTTGAAGCACTATTCCCCATTCGTTAATTTATGAATAATGCTTTCGTTTGCTAATGTAATGTACTAAACACTTTCTAGATCGCGTGGTTGGCTGTAAATGTTATCTCTTGTGCAATCTATCTTACTTATGACTTCCAAGTATAGAACATTTCTCATCTCGTCTGGATGATATATTGATGTAGGTTGGGGAAGATGTGGTAGCAGAAATAACAAAGGCCATGGAAAAAATTGGATTGGATATGCGAGTGGCAGCTTTGGTACTGCCCTTTGTTCTTTATCTCCTAGATCTTTATGAGGCGGATTTTCTCCCCGCATTATGTTGTACATTCTAACTACTCCATCTGATTCAGGTAAATGATACAATTGGCACATTAGCTGGAGGCAGATATAACAATGATAATGTTATTGCTGCTGTGATTCTGGGAACTGGAACAAATGCAGCGTATGTCGAGCGAGCACATGCAATTCCTAAATGGCAAGGCCTTCTACCTCAATCAGGAGAGATGGTTAGTAAGAGTAACTTTTGAACTGTGTCAACCCGGAGATTAATAGAGATCTGGATAGAACTGTGTCAACCTGCTGTCCAACCCAGTGATATCCCACATCAGTTGGGGAGGAGAACGAAACACCCTTTATAAGGGTGTGGAAACCTCTCCCTTTATAAGGGTGTGGAAACCTTTCCCTAATAGACGCGTTTTAAAAACCTTGAGGGGAAGCTTGAAAGGGAAATCCCAAAGAGAACAATATTTGCTAGCAGTGGGCTTGGGCCGTTACAGTGGCTCTAATAATTATATTCCATGGCTAACATTCTTTCAAAACAATAGGTTATTAACATGGAATGGGGTAACTTCCGGTCTTCTCATCTTCCGCTCACCGAATATGATCATGCTCTAGATTTGGAAAGTTTAAACCCTGGGGAACAGGTAATGCTCCTCTTTTCTTCAAGCTATTCTTCTTGTAGTCCTTTTCATTACAAATTCACTTTCCTATACAGTCCATAATACGTATCTTGTGGCCATCTTTCAGATTTTTGAGAAGATAATATCTGGTATGTATCTAGGAGAGATAGTTCGTAGAGTTCTATGCAGGATGGCTGAAGAAGCTGCCTTTTTTGGTGATGTTGTTCCCCCTAAACTCAAAAAACCTTTCATTCTCAGGTATTGCTCTTGCTCATTTGTAGCAGGCCGTCAAACCGACGCCTCGTCTCGTCTCCAAAAGTGTAAAGGAAAAAGAAAAACAAAATGCTGAACTAATTGTTGGTGTAAATACAGGCCATTCACAATGTTGCCTTTTTCATTATTTCATTTGTAGAATGGAGTAGTTCACATGTGTGCATTCATTTATTTATTTTTGAACAGAAACAAACCTCAATTATTAAGTTGGTTTTGACTAAACGGATCGAAACGACCCGTTATTATTGTGTTAATTTTTTGTTTGTATTTATGCAGGACTCCTGACATGTCTGCTATGCATCACGACACATCTCCAGACCTGAAAGTTATCGGAAGCAAGCTGAACGACATTTTGGAGGTTCAGATTCAATTCCCATTCTTCTCAGTTCTTTCCATAAACTGCTCATTTTCAGGAACCAGTTGATCAATTTGCTTGGTCATTTGAGTTTGTCGATCCATGACACGTGAAAGAACGCCTTTTTGCTGACATTCTAATTTTCTCTTTTGTGTCAGGTATCTAACAGCCCCCTCCCGATGAGAAAAATCATTTTTGAGCTATGCAACATTGTTGCAACTCGTGGGGCACGCTTATCGGCTGCTGGGATTTACGGGATTATCAGGAAATTGGGAAGAGACACCCCGAGAGATGGGGATAACCAGAAATCTGTCATAGCTGTGGATGGAGGGTTATTTGAGCATTACACGAAATTTAGAAACACCTTAGAGAGTACACTCAAGGAATTACTGGGAGATGAAATTGCCGAGAACTTTGTGATCGAGCTCTCGAACGATGGCTCTGGCATTGGAGCAGCCCTCCTCGCAGCATCACACTCCCAGTATCTTGGGGTAGAGGAGTCCTGAAAAAAGGAGTCCAATGCCAGCCAAGGTAGCTCAAAAGAAATGAAACATGAATTACTTTTCTTACTACTTGATATTGTTTAGGCTCCTCGTTTCAATGACTCTTAAGTCGTTCATTTTATGGTCCAGAGCATATTGCTTTCCTGCAATGGATCAATTATGTGTTAGAGTTGCCTGCAAAAGACTCGCAACAAATTGAAGTGGCTCCCTATCCTTGTGGTGTTGAAGCCGATGTTGATGTCGTTGGGGCACAAGTCCTTTCCTTTGACATGGTTAATAAATGAGGACCCCATCGTCTCCGATGAAATCATCCTTCTGGAGTTCCTTTGTCGAATAAATTAGGACCATATGTTGTTTCTTCAAGCTCTTGAAATTCTCCTTTCGAATTAGATCAATCCATCAACAGATGATAGCAACTGTCATCAAGCATACAAATAAAAAAGATTTCGTTTTTATTGTTCTTTCTGGTTGCCATTTTATCGTATCATCACTGTTCAATACTCATTTACTTGGTGGTATGGTTCTTTCACGATGAAAGCTTCCAAACGAGAAACTGAAAATGCTCTAAGAGAAGGTTAACAAAGTGTAGCCGTTTGGGCTGCTTGAGCTGAATGAGCTCTATTTTATTATCAGTGTGGTTCTCATCTAGTTTTTGAGCTAAAACAGACATGACATCGATTCGTTATTCAAAATTTACAGACTAACCAAGGCAACCTGCCAACTCCATAGCCATTTCTGCTCTGAGGAGTGGCTGGAGTGCAGGGTTCTCCCCAGTCTCGACGTGATGGTGAATGTTGATTGTAAAAAGTGAGACCGTAAAAGTGAGACTATTGGAGTGTAACAACTTTAGTCCACTGTCAGCAGATCACTAGTAGATATTGTTTGCTTTGGCCAATTATTGTCGTCAGTTTCATGGTTTTAAAATGGGTCTACCATGGAGAGGGTCTAGCTTTACTCCGACCAGTGCCTCGTACTGTCCGGTGGCTGGCTCTGATACCATTTATAACAGGCTGGCTCTAATACCATTTATAACAGCCTAAACTCATTGCTAATAGATATTGTCCACTTTGGTCTGTTACAAATGGTATCAGAGCCAATTACAGGATAGTGTGCCAGCGAGGATGCGGGCCTCAAGGGGGTGGATTTGACGCGGCCTCCAAGGGAGTGAATTGTGAGATCCCACATTGGTTGGAGAGGGAGGCTGGCCTCCAAGGGGGTGAATTGTGAGATCCCACTTGGAGAGGAAAACTAAATCCTTATAAGGGTGTGTAAACCTCTCTCTAATAGACGCGTTCCGTGGTGTGAGCTTGAGCTGTTACATAGAGAGAACTTTGACCGTTCATTTTTCAAGTAACCGTGATCATTTCTAGGTATACTTTCACGATCCGAGTTTCTTCTCTCCATGATTTTGGGGTGTCGAGGTCCGACTACGGATCAAGACTTCCAAAGCCTGGTGCATGGTTGGCCGGTTAGTTGGCAAACTAGAAGTGCAAATCACTCCAAGCTTGAAAACACTGCACATCTCATCAAGATAATGCGGCTCCTTCACATCTTCATCCAGTACATCGGCTATTCGCTTGCCCTGTTGAATGCACTCCCAAGCCCACTCCGCCAGAGACGAGTCCTCATCGCCATTGAGGGCATCCTTTCCAGTCGCCAACTCTAAAAGAATAACCCCAAAGCTAAACACGTCGATCTTCTCATTAATTCTCGGTGTTTGAGCATACTCTGCACAAGGAAAACAACAAGCTTTCAGCTTTGCTAATCAGTATCTTAGATGGGTTGAAACAGGGCAAGTCTCTTACCTGGAGCTATGTATCCAAAAGAGCCCGCCACGGCGGAAACTGAAGCCGCTTCTCCCTGTTTTACCAGCAACTTGGCTAACCCAAAATCTGCTATTTTGGCATTGAGTTCTGAATCGAGTAAGATATTGCTGGATTTCAAGTCTCTATGAATTACCGGAGGTGAGCATTCATGGTGCATATAACAGAGGCCTTGTGCTGCCCCCACCGCTATTTGAAATCTCGTCGGCCAATCGAGGGGGACACCGCAATCAGGCTCCGAACCTGTAATTCTCGGCGGCGAGTTCCTCTTGTGCAGCCATTTGTCCAAGCTTTGCTTCTCCATGTACTCATAAACGAGAAGCCGAGAAGTTTCACTGGAAACGAAGCAGAGGAGTTTGATTATGTTGTTATGGCGAATCGAACTCAAAACCTTCACTTCCGCCATGAATTCTTTCTCCAGCTTGTGGTCTGACTTTCTGTTGTTCCATATCTTCTTCACGGCCACTGTATCGCCCAAATTATTCACCGGAATCCGGTAAACTTTCCCTGAGCCACCACTTCCGATCACGTTATTTTCTGATAACCCAGATAAAAGATTTTCCTCCGAGAAATTCAGCCTTTGAAATGAGGTCAATTTCCATTCAATATCCTCTCTGTTTCCAGTTTTCCAGTAGATTTTGGTTGTGAACACAGCAGCAAGTATAAAGAGTATGAACAGTATAACGCCCAAGCTCACGATCAGAGCAAGATGCTGCGATGAAATTGTTCTTGAATTCTGAGATCTCAAATTGCAGCTATTCAAATTTAGAACTGCGTTGTTTGAACAAAGATTTGGATTGTTCAAAAAGCTTCTGGTATAGATAGGGTTTTCAAGTGCCAAGGGGATTGTCCCAGACAACAGATTTGAGGAGAGGTTGAGGAAATTCAGTTTCAAATTTCCTAGTTGAGTCGGAATCATCCCGGAAAGTTGATTCTCTGAGAGATCAAGATCAGTAAGGCTTGGTAAACCACCAAGTTCATCCGGAATTACACCTGAAAGACGATTTCGACTGAGGTTAAGATTGTTCAATGATCTCCATGAAATGATATTCTGTGGAAGCTCTCCGGTGAGTTGATTTCCATCGAGCCAGAGCTTGTTCAACTTTGAAAGAATAGTGAGTTCTTCAGGAATTTGTCCTGTAAATAAATTATTGCTTGCTAGAAACTCAGTCAAATTCCATAAAGAAAATAACCCAGATGGGATTTTCCCTGAAAATTTGTTGTTACTGATTTCCAACGTCCCAAGATTCGTTGAGAATCTCTCAGGGAGTTCACCGGTGAAAGAATTGTCGCTCATCATTACAAATGTCAAATTAAGAGGCATCCATAGACCCACCGGAATTTTCCCAGAAAAGTTGTTCTTATGAACATCAATCATCATCAAGCTGCTGCAATTCCCAAGAGACTCTGGCAGTTCCCCACTAAGATTATTCTCGTATGCAGTAACTCCTACGAGCTTACCGCCGGAGCACAAGTGCTCCGGTAACCTTCCAGTAAGCTTATTGTTGCCCACCTGAAAACTTCTGAGAACCAAATTCCGGCCGAAATCCTGCGGCAGCGTGCCGGTTAAACTGTTATCGAACAATCTGACATCATCTAATTTTGGAAGACGTCCGATGCTTTCAGGGATTTCTCCATGTAATCGATTTGAAAACAGAAGCAAAGACGTCAATTGCTGAAGATCGCCGATAGCTGCCGGAATTTCCCCGGTCAAATTATTTTCTGATAGGTCGTATTCTACAATCTTTTTTGAATCAATCCGAGTCGGGATTTCTCCGGACAGATTGTTCTTGAACAGATAAACGAAACTGAGATTCTTCAGCATAAACAAACTGCTGGGAATTTTCCCTGTCAAATTGTTTTCCGACAAATTCAACGTCTCGAGGTCGGTCAAATTCCCTATCCAATCAGGAATTTCACCCACTAGGTTCGTATCTGTCATCCATATAAACTTCAATTTCTTCAATTGGGCGAAACTGGGGGGCAATTCCACCGGTAGCAGAAGTGAATTATAAGCCAACAGTAATTCTTCCAGATTCAACAAGTTACCAATTTCAGATGGGTAACTCCCATTGAATCTGTTCACATAAAGATTAAGGGATCGAAGCTCTGCCAACCGAGAAATGGATGCCGGAATTTCGCCGGAGAATCTGTTGCCGCCGAGATTAAGATATTGGAGGCGAGACAAGCGGTGGACATCATCGGGAATTGGACCGTCGAAGTAATTCTGCGCAAGGTGGAGGTAATTAAGCTTGGAACAATTGTACAGAGTGGTAGGAAAACCATCGGCGATATAATTGAGGTTAAGATCAAGTTGGGTGAGATTGTTGAGATCGCATAGGAAAGGAGGGAAGGTTCCGTTCAAATTGTAGCCAGGGAAAAGCAGAGCAGTGACGGAGTTGTTAGTGCACTGAATCTCCGGCCATGTACAATGAGAAGCATTTGAAGACCGCCAATGGGCGATTGGGGCTTGGTTTTTCCAGAACTGGTTCAATCGGAGCAAAACAGAGTGTTCTTGTTGGTAGAGTTGGGAATTGGCATGGTGGGAACAGAGGAGGAGGAGGAGGAAAGAAATGGTTTCGAGAAAAAAGAGAAGGGAAGAAAGAAACGCCGTCGTCGTCATGTGGAGAAGATGATCAAGTGTTGGTGTTGTTGTTTGATAGCTCTTCGGCTATGGCGGCTGCGAAAGATTTTGATTATTATTGGAGTTTGGGAGTTGCAGCTGAAGGTGTGAATGCAAAACCAAGCGTCAAAGCCGAAGCTTATGTTTGCTTCAAAATGTCGCCTCACTCCCTTTATTCTCTTCTTTTACCACCAGTTTTTTAGTCCCAAAAAACAATTCAAGTTCCTCTACTACTCCTTCTCCATCCTATAACAATATTAATTCAACTTCGAGCCCACCGTTAGTAGATATACGTTCGAACCCACTACTAATCGGTATTACTTGCTTTGATTTGTTAATGCATCTAGAAACGGAGAAATTTCTATGTATTTATAAGAAATGTTTGGTTTCTCAGTCCTGAGTCCTGATCTCACATATGTATATATATATATTGTAATTTTTAAAACAAAAACAAAAATAAAATGAGCTTCATATTTTAATAGAAAAAATTGTCCTCCCACAGGAAATTTCGTGGAAACTAAAAGTACCACTAAATGAAAGGTTTGTAAAGTCAAGGTTGGCGGTCAGTCAACGGAAGATGTTAAAGATTCAAACCAAGGGACATAATTGCTTTATATTAAAATAAATAAATAAAAACAATTATAATTATAATTCCCACTTTCATTTCACTTCACTACTTTTATTCCGTTTTTTTTTCTTTTAGACTTACCAAACAAACTAAACAAAGTCTTCCATTATTTTCCAATATCTATCTATTATAATAATTCATATGCTTCTAAAATTTTATGTATTCAATCCCATCCAAGTTAGTCAAAATTTTTGATATTATAAATTGATATTATATATATATATATATATTTAGTTTCACGTGGTGATTGTGACGAAACCAACGTGAAAAAGAGGTACAGAATCGAATAGCACATTGAAATAAGAGCAATTCTAAAAAATAGGATAATTAAGAAAATTTTAAGATAATTGAAAACCACTACCTATACTAAAAAGGTCTACCTTTATT